CTGCATCAGTAACCTCCTTAGGTCATGTTCGTTCCACTTGAGTCACCATCTTTTCCGTTCAAAATGTAATGTTGCAGATCACTAGATCAAGGTCATCATTTTGTGCCTACTCACAGCAGCATCTCTAAATCTTGAACAAAATTATCAGACTGCATGTCAGCAACAGCTTTAGTAATAGCAAAATCAGCAGAAAGTCTTACAGGGGAAAATAATAGAAATTTTCTGATGATAAATATAGAACTCCTAGCCTTCTTCATGGGTTTAAATACTGAACCATTCTACCAATAAGGGGGAAAAAAAAGGTATTTTATGTGGAAATATGTACACCGAACACAAAGATAGTTGGGTAAGGGGGATAGGTTTGGGATTTTCATCTGCTTCTGAAGCAATTTTCACTTTGTTTGTATGAAAAATCCTGCATTATACGTAACCAAAATAAATATGTTGCATTCATAGTCTCAGACAATCTTTATTACTTCATGTAGCCAGTATCAGCTTGTTCAAAAATACATAAAAATATCTTTGAAGGACAGGTTTCTAGGTATTTCTGCATTTGAATTAAAATATTGGCTTGCAAATAATATTGCTATCCAAAGATTCTTTTTCATTCAATGACTTGCTGTATTATTAGTCACCAACAATGCAAAAAATGCGAGAATGTCAGTCAGGTTTCTACAAAAATCTTGATTTATAAGTCATTAGCAAGGAACTGAAATATGCTTAATTTTAGAAATAGACAAAATTTAAGAGAAGATAATTAGAGAATCATCTGAAGGGTTTTACCAAAACAATTTCACAAATTCATGTACTTAAAAATGGCAACAAAAACAAAGAAATAGAAAATTGTATTTAGTGCAATGGTGTAATGATCTGTAGATAAAGGTGAAATTGTGAGAGCTAGTATTTTAACTTCATCGGAAACATGGGGAGGTAGGATAATTTTCATCCCTGCTGCATACACAGGGGAATTGTCAACAGCAGTTGGACATTAATGCAAAATTACCTTGATCATCTATGACATTTCATTTCTGAAGTTTTCTTTCTCTGTAGGTCTCCCATTACGTCATAGACCTTGATTAATAAGGGTTTATAATGCCCATATGCACAATACACAGAACTAATTTCATCCAATGCCCAGCTGGATCCTAAGTAGAATTTAAGTTAGGAAAAAAAAAGCTAAGATGTACCCAGAACATCAAGAAACATTGTTATGTTCTTACCAGAAATTATTTGTGCTCTCACAGTCATGGAATAGTTTTTTAATTTACTAACAGCTTTTCTTTATCATGTAGCTAGATACTAAATTAATTCTGCTTCACCTCACAATGTCTTTTTCATATACTCTCTCTTCAGTTCTACATCCTGAAATTAGTCAGTTCTAGAGCTCTGTCCATCTGACAAATAGGAGTTTGTGCATGCGTGTGTGTATAGAGGAATTGTCTGGGTGTGTAGTGCTTTTATTGTAAAATCTTCAATATTCTGTGTGTTTGTTCATCTTTACAGTTGCATACCTGCTATCTTAAAGACAGTCTAGTAAGTAATTTATTTCACTATATCGTTAGACCACTCAAAAATCACTAGTGATACGTCAGAGAAGGAAACAATAATAGAATAAATTTTAAAATATAATTTCATGTACTTCTTAATATAGTCAGTATTTTTATTTGGATCTATATGTATGTTATTTATTCCCTGGTATTCCATCTGTTTTGTTTTGTTGGAAAATGTATCTATCTCTGCATAATCAGCAGATATGCTTCAGCTCAAAATGAATAATGAATTTTTCTTTTATTTATTTTATTCATACCTTCACATTAAGCCTGTACCTACAAATTCCATAAATATATATACCAGTCACTTCCCAATTTCTTCCTTCCATCATCATGCTCTTGGGAAATTGAATTTTCTGATTTTCTGAAACATGTAATCAGAATTACTCTGGTTTGTTCATGGGGATTAGACAAAAGTCCTTGTCTACAGATTTCTGACATTGTTAAGACATCCTTTCACAGCCTGCACAGACTGGGGCAGGCAGTATTAACCAACACAGCTCATATCATTGAGTTTGCACAGTTTGGAAGTTGCTTCAGTTAGGAGTTGGCTCTGCTGACTGCCATCCACTAGTTATGGCAGAGAGGAGATGACTTTCTTATCTCAGCTGTCACGTGAGACAATTTTTGCTAGTCGCTGAAGCCAGAATCTGGGTGAGTGACTGTTCCTACTGTGCACCACAGCATGCTGGTTTGAAAACCTGGATATTGATTTCACGTTAGAAGTCATGGAAGTGAGTGGGGATAGGTTTCTATCTCTCTCTCTGGTAGTTCCATATGGGGCACTCTGTTCCTTCCAGATCTGGCAGCAAAGAGAGACTCACCATCCTGCAATGTAACTATTGATTATCAATTCACTGTGCTCAGCACTGGTGAGGCCAGACCTCAAGTCCAGTTCTGGGCCCCTCACTGCAAGAAGGATTGAGCTCCCAGAGCGTGTCCAGAGAAGGGCAGTGGAGCTGGTGAAGGGTATGGACTCTTGTGAGGAGTGGCTGACGGAGCTGAGATGCTTTAGCCTGGAAAAATAGAAGGCTCAAGGAAGAGCTTATCACTCTTTACAACATCCTGAAAGGAGGTTGTAGCAAGGTGGGTGTCAGTCTCTTATCCCAAGTAACAAGTGATAGGACGAGAGGAAATAGCCTCAAATTGCACCAGAGGAGGTTTACATTGGATATGAAGAAAAATTGCTTCACTGGAAGTGTTATCAAGTTTATTGGAATTGCCCAGGGAAGTGATAGATTCCCCATCCCTGGAGGTATTTAAAAGTTATGTAGATGTGGCACTTGGTGTTTAGTACAGGATTTGACAGTGCTGGATTAAATGGTGAATGATTTTAAAGTTCTTTTCCAACCTAAATGATTCTGCAATTCTACAATTTAATGATTCACTTAGACTTCTGGCAAAGACAGAACTACTACACAAAGTCATGAAATATAATCAGTTGCTTAAATGCTAAAGCAGATTTCCAAGAAACATCCCCAAAACCTTAATGTTTATGAATTTCTTAGCTCCAGTAGCCTTACCATAAGTCAAATCTTTAAGGTCAGTATCGAATTAGCAGAAAAGTCTGTGAGAGAATGCAAAAATGACATTTTTGTTGTATTGAATTAAGACTCCTAAAAAAATGGGAAAACAGATGTTTTGTAGTCCACTTAGTGACAGAAGATTTTAGCAAAAGTAGCTCAAAGGTGTTGTCATCGAGATAAAGCAATAGCATTGTTGTTTGTGCTGCATTTGATGCATCTCTGGATACTTTAGAGCTTCTGTTTTTCTTCTGTTTCAGAGCAAATTTGTGATATCAACATTTGGCATTGTAATAGTACTTTCCTTCTAAGAGTATTATATGCAAATATAATCAAGCCATAAAATATATGATAGACAAAAAATCAATATTGCAATATGGTATTGATGTTTTAAACACCAGGCACCTGACTCTCCAATAGCTAAACTAATTTGTCTCGTAAAATCCCATTGGTATCAAGATTTTTTCCTCCTCTCCTAGGTGCAGAAAATCTTTTTACTTTCAAGACCAAAACATTTGAGCTAATGAACAGAAACATATTCCTTTGTCAGAAATACCCAGTTTTCTACCTAGGAAAGGTAGAAGCTTATTCTCTTTTAGTGTCTAAGCTGAGTGAATATTTGACCATAATCATGGGAATGAGGAACAGTCTAAATATTAGAAAAATAAATTCTCAATGATCTGCAATTAGTATCCTAAAGTCTCTGCTGATGATACCTTTCAATCATTCCACCACCTTTTTATTTAAAGATTTTTCTATTTTAAATGTTGCTATTGCAGAGTCATTGCAATCAAAATAATTACTGTTATTTAAGAGGCCTTCTTTTCTTGTCTGAATTGCAGTCTAGAATGTATTATATTCATGTTCCTGATAACAATGACATTATAGGACTGACACCTATTTCACTTTGTGTTGGTGATTGTTGTCATTATTCTCATTATCATTTTTTATTGTAAGTATTATATTATTCTATCATACTCATCATCATCCTCATCATCATCATCATCATCATTAGAAATTAACAAGGCACCTAATTGGATAAACAGATTTTAAGCAGTCCAGGAACTCCTGGATTATGTTCTCAGTATGTAATATAATAAAATATAGTAGCAACTCAGACTTAGCCAATATTAGAAAATATGCAGCTGAGCATGATTCAGACTGTTATGCAAGTACAATTTTCTGAAATCAGAATGAGAAAAATTTTAAACTGTACATTTTAGAATTGAAGTAAACAACTTTACATAATTCATGAGCTACAGTTCTGGCTTTTAAGACAAATAGATCCAACATATAAAACATTACAACTTTATGAATATGCATCATTATAATATGCCCTGCAGGAACTTCAAGGAACAGTATCAAATAAACTGTATATTTTGTTCTTTCAAACCTAAGTATTAATGAATTTACAGCTGTTTATTGTAAACTAGGATCAAAAAGATGTCTCTCTAAATTGAATGCAAAATTTGATTCATATATCTTGTGGCTTAATAAAAGTGGAAGGGAATTTAATACATCCAGTTATAGTGTACATTATTGCTCCTCTGCTACACTTATATACAAATTGAATTTAAATTATGACTTTTTTAGTCCAATTAACAAAACTATTGTTTTCATGTTTGTTTGAACTTGGTTCATTGCTTGTTGATGCCACATAACGAATGAATCCTAACAAAATTATTTTCCATGGAACTATAACATTTTATTATAATCCAAAGGGTTTGTTCCAAAGAGTAAAGCTTCATAATTTTGTTGATTTTTTTTCTGTGGGATGTTTAAACTTTGAAAGTGAAGCACTGTTATGTGTATGTTAAAATAAAGTGCTGGTTACATTCCAGATGAATTATTAGGTTATTCTCTTGAGCATTAATTTAAATGAATCTATAATTTTGATATTTATAGTTCTGCTTTTATGTCTCATCAGGAGCTACAACTATTGAAAAGTACGATCTCAGAACAAACATATGGATTCAGGCTGGAGTAATGAATGGCAGGAGGCTTCAGTTTGGTGTTGCTGTCATTGATGACAAGCTGTTTGTCATTGGAGGCCGGGATGGTTTAAAGACATTAAACACTGTTGAATGTTACAATCCAAAGACCAAGGCTTGGACTGTGTTACCACCCATGTCAACACACAGACATGGCTTAGGTAAGAAAAAAATATTTTTTAAATATACCACATATTTTTTGTTTTGTAACTTCTGCTGGAAAACTCATTACTTTTAAGCTCTGGTAGCATTCTGACCAGTAACAATAACTGGGCTTTGCAACATGATATAAAGAACTATCCTGCCTCCACGAGGTCTCCTTCTTATTGGCCTCCAGTGCTGGGTGGTTACTCCCTCTGATTTATGCGGGCCGGAGGCTTCACCATCATCCACCCAAAAAGTCACCTCTTTTCCCTTGGGTGGGTGCACCTTGTGGGGTGCAAACCCTGGCCTAGCGAAGCACCCTAGCACCTCCACAAACGGGCAAATGTTTGGCTCATTAACCATTAACATCTCAGACTCTTACAGATACACGTAGGGATGAAAGTGATAAAAACAGGAGAATGGCGAGGAGGATGGCAGATTTGCTCAAGTGACTTTTCAGCTTGGAATGCCAAGGCCTGGAGAAAAACAGTGTGGGAACCCCATATATATATACATATAATGCCTACTGCTGTTTATCTCTTATTTGAGAATAGAGACAACTTAGGTGCACAGGTGTTTGGAGAGGCTTATGGACATGTTTGAGCTCCCTGTTTTGGGAGAGAGGTCATAAAAAGCCCAGAAGAGATCCCAGCACACTGGTAAACTATGCATGCGTGGGTGCTTGACAAATAGGTGCAAAGAGCAGCCCAGCCATCTGCTGGGATTGTGTTCCTGTTTGTGTGTCTCTGCCTGGGTGTTGCTTTGGCATCCACTGGTTAGGAAGGTAATAAATAGGGAATAAATTTACTCTTTGCATTTCAGCAGTGGTTTTGTGGTTACTCCCACTGCCTGCTTGGGTTGACTCATGCAACACACGATGTTATCATGTCAATTCCCCTGAGCTGCAATCAGCAAGTCCTTTGTTGTACTATTGCATCATATACCTCACAAAATGACAATGCTTTCCTGCCCTTCACTCATGTTGCTGGGCACTAGCAATATGCATATGTTACTGTTGCTGTTAAACAAGTCTTACAATAGAAAATAGCGATGGGAATCTATATCAGATGGCATCATGGCACTGAATAGCTCACTGATTTAAAATTGTTTCCTAAGTTTAAATTTGATTGTAAATTAGAAATTTCATGAGAAAATACATGAATTACATGCATAAATACATCATGTCTCGTCTGCCAGTGTTTGGGAATTTTACAGAATCAGTGCTGTTCCCCAGGGTAATAAAAATGCAATGACTTCAGCTATAACTACAGGAAAGTAGTAATACAACATTAGAGTATGCTGAATAGAGAAAATATTTGTCTCTGTGACAAAAGAGATGAATCTCTGATTAAAAACCTTTGGTAATCAGTTAAAAAAATAATTCTGGACTATAATTTTACAGATTATTTTGATCAACAGATTTAAAAAATACCATTGTAGTTTAAGTTGAGGAATGTTGACTGGAGAAAAACTGGTATGCTTTCTCTACTAGGAAAAAATAAACAAACTAGACATTTGATCATTTGAGGGGTGTTTATTCTAGCTATAAAATAATTATTAAATTTTGTATTGAAGTAATTCAGGCTTTTTGTGAACAACAGGTAAAATGAGAAAAGAAGTCTAAATTGGGATAATTAAATGCAGTCATTTGGGAGGCATTAGAAAAGTGTTCCTTATCTGGAATTATGTACCAATCACATTATTACCTGAGAATCTTAGTTAATAGAATTTAATTGCTTTTTTAATTTTAGTTTTTTCTAATATCCCATGAAGTTATTTTAGTAAATGCCTTTTGTAATGAAAGTTAATCTGAAGTAATACATCTTTTTTTATTATTATTTGTTTTCTAAACTATGTTATATCCATGTAGTAATAATCCTAGGCCAGTTTGAATTGGGTTTTGTATACAGGATAGAAAGAAGCAGCCATCCTTTACATGGATGTCTTTTTGTTGAAAGAGCAAAAAAAATTGTCAGATGTACCCCATTGTAACTGAGGCCACAACCAGCTAATACAATTCACTTTAACCTGTATTCATATAATCTTCAATAGAACCATATGTATAAAAGAGGAAATGAGGAAATAAAAGCTGACAGGCCATGTAGTGAAAATCCATAGTGTAGGAAGTCATATGTTAGGCAGTTTCAAATCTGCCAATTGAAGATGAGTGAAAGCTCTTTTAATGGCAGTGTTTGAAATAAATGGTGCTAAAGTACAAATAGAAAGGGCAGACTGTGAGATCCAAAACTATTATTTAAAGTAATAGTGATTCTAATATCTCTGTTGAATAGTCCATAAAACAGAATGGAATATGAAAGAGCAATAAGACACCAGAAAGGTGGTGAAAGGCAAAAATGAAATATGGGAAAGGTGAAACCTGACAAACAGAAAGACTAAATCAAAATCCATATAGGAAAGGAAGAAAGAGACTGAAAGAGCAAAGATGTGAAAAAATATAAAACAGATTCTGGTTTATAAATTCAGCAGCTTTATGAAGCAACTCTGTATACACTTTTTTGATTTCTATGCTGAACTTAATAGTCTATGTAGAAGAGGAGAGAGAGAAAGGAAATATGGAACTAATGATAGACTAGAATTTTAGATATCAAATCCAGTGAAACTGTGATTAAAAAAAACCAAACAAACCAAAAAGCTAAAAAAATTGGTACTTGGCTTGTCTTTACAAAATAAACATTTTAAGTGCCACAGTGAGAAAATTAGACTTCCAGTATAATTCAGGAGGAACAGCATTTTTTTTTCAGGTAAGTGTTTTAAGTTGTCTTGTTCTTTTGATCGACTATGTAAAGTGTGTCTAAGTTTCTATTTTAGGTCCTGTTTTGGCTTTGAAAACATACTGATCTCACTATCCATAGTCAAACATCCATTTGCAAGATGATCAGCATGGGAAGGAGGCTGATAGGACATGGTATTACCTTGTAAAATCCTATACAGCTTAGAGTGGAGGCAAGTTACATATTTTTCCTCCTCCCCTCTTGGAAGAGAGAATCTTGCCAGTCATAATTATCTGAGTGAAAATGCTATAAAAATAATAGCTGATGGGAAGTCCTTAGATTTATTTACATAGGACATAGGCCTAGGGTAAATAGAATTCACTCCACCCAGATTGAATGGTCATAGAAGACCTAATGAATATTCAGTTCTTAGTTTATACAGTGAATTAGGCTTCAACCTATTGTTCTGAAGAAACTAAATATGTAATGTAAATGCATTTTAAAGGACCTGAGTGGTATGCTTGAAGTTAGAGTGAATACTTGCTTATAATGTGGTTGTCATTAAACTGGTATGTGCAGGAATGAATATCTAAAAGATTAAGTTCAAAACTCAAAAGTGAAAAGAGAATAAATACATGTAGTTAGGGAGTAACAAGATTAAATATCCCAGAATATCTCAGATATTGCTGACAAAATATCAGATTGCACTATGGGTTTTCATGAAAGCCAATTTCTATATTTCACTGAAAGGGAAATATACCCACTGTGCTTCTTAGATCCAGCTTGGATTTCAACTTTCAAGTAATAATGACAAATACTAATAGAGGGAAAGACTGTGGATAAACTGAATTATCAGTATTCTTACTACATAGTAAATCTCAGAAGTAAAATACATGTACAAATATAAGTAATAAAAATAATAGAAAAATAGAAAAATCTAGGCATATAAATGATTTATTATCAGCCTGTACATTCAAAATTAGTTAAATGCTTGACAAGTAATGTTTGTATTTTCAAAAGAAATTATTGTTCATCAGATAATTTTACATTGTGTGAAAGCTTAGAGCATAAATACAACTCCACAGTTTTAGAGAGCTAAGAATTTGTGTAGGATTCAGCAGGCTAAGTAGGTATATGTACAATGAAGTAGAGCAACTTTGGTGGCATAATCTGATTTCCATGGGAATAAGAATTGTAGCATGTTTAGAATTAAATTATTTGTCGCTTGGGAACTGGCTCTCAAGGTACAACACATACTATTGAGTAGACTGGAAACTGAGAATCTGGTAATGCAAAAAACCCTTATATTTCAGTTATACTGGCACTTTTAAAAAGCCAAAGAGGTTTTATTGGGTATTTATGCCTGTATGTGAGTATGATTTGAGAGATTTCAAAAATATTGATTTTTGAGAAACTATTGAAGATATAAAACTAAACAAAAAAAACACGGTAAATTTTTATGAACACTTCTATTTAAATAAAGCTAGCATAATATCTTAAAGGGCTAGCAGTAACAATGTAGCATCAATGGAACTGCCAGTTTAGTAAATTCTGGTGAAATTATTCCTTCATAAAGCAGTAAATTGAAAAAATATTCTGTATAACATTTCTCTTTATAAATATTGACATGAAGGAGATAATTTTAATCCCATTTCTCTCCCTTGGTAAAGCAAATAATTTCTGACAATAAATTTGTAAAATTTCAATAGTTTTTTAAAATAAGCCTGCAGTGCAATATCAGAAAAAGTATCAGATACTAGAAACCTTGATAGATCCACAATATCAAAGCCAGTATTCGATTACACCGAAACAAGTGAAGGAGAAACACATAGGTAACACATATTTGATACTATAAATTTATAATGAACAGGTCATTACAATATAAATTATGTTTATTAAAGATGTATTTCATGAGATGAATATGGAAAGCAATCACCTCTAATTTATTTTGTGACAAATGAAATTTGTTAGGAAATAAAGCCTTTTAAGAATGAATGCTACTAACAAATTCCTTAAAACAGTTCCACCAGGAAAGCATAGGCTGTAGAATTCACAAGCAGAGTAGAAAAGATACACAGCAAAGTACCAAAACTATTAACTGTACAGGCTGTCTGAGTTTTACCTCTTTCATGAAGCATAATATAGCATAGATTGTTGCTTACTCAACACCAAAAATCTAATGATGAATGATACCCCTCTTTAGACCTAATTTGAGAGATAATTTTGAAGTCAGTGAGAGCTGAACTTTAATCTACCATTTAAAAAACGTTTGCTGTGGCAGTTAA